ATTGTTTTATTTTAACTCCATATATTATATATTTTTCATTAATAAGTATGATATAGATTTATAAATTTTTACCAAGTGGAGTTGGAACTGGAATGATTAGTGTGGATTCCGTTTCAACATTATCCTGTTTCCAAGCAATTTTTGTAAATTCTTTTTCGCGAAGATTTATTTCATGTGTTTTAACATGTCTTCCATCGTTGTCTTTATGTATAACAATGATTGTGGGATTAACACAACCATATAAAAACTCCACATCATATACAGTTAACTCGTCCATTCTATTATAAAATTATAAATAAATACAATTATTAATAATATTTTCCCCATTATTTTTCTACGCTTACCGTAAATTCGTTGCTTTTAACTCACTAGAACTGTGATCCAGTGGAACAATAGTAAATAATCCTTTGTATAAACACATACCAACTACCCGAGCCTTTGGATCAATAACCGCAATAACACCACCTTCAGCACTTATACCGACTGGATCAGAAACAGTTCCATCTGCTTTAGTATGAACTTTTATGACACCGTCTTCTTCAATGAATTCCAATATCATTACATTATACCGTTGAGTTAATATAAAAACTAAATCTTTTTTGCCTTCCTAAAGGAATTATAATTATAGTTATAGTTATTAAAATAACATAAATTGAATAAATATTTTCAAATTACAGGTGGTCTAAAATGTCGCATAACAGCAATCTGTCCATTGATATTAACTTCCTTCAGTGGACGCAGCCCTTCCGGCGTAACTAAATCGATTTCTAATTGGCTATTTCTTGCAATGACCAAATTTAAGTCTGTCGGAGACGTGAAGTTTCCTGAAAAGCGCAAATAAAATTTAAATGAAGCAAATTTATACAAAAGAAGCACATTATGCATTGAATAATGGTTCTTGTGTTTAAGGTCACGTTTTCGAATTCATAAAATGTAGCATTTCATACCGGCTTTTGTAGGTATATTAAATTCTATGTTTTTATTAGCACATTTTACACATTATAAGTTATTTATATAATAAGCACAATAATTTATTTAGTTAATCGTTTATTTCAGATATAATACAATGTGTTTAAATAAAAAAGTTTACTTACCGCATACACAAGCAATCACAGCCGTTGGATTCTGAGCCGTAACTACATAATGATGTGACATCTTTATGAACAAAAATGTTCAGCAATAGATTTTTATTGTAGAAAAATAGATTTACTTATTTATTAAATAATCAATTTACTGTCAACAGCAACAGATATTTTTAATTCGAGACCCGCTGCATGCAAAATATGCAATATACTATGAACTCTCACCGCCAACTGAACAAGCTGCCAACAATAAATATTACAAAAAGTGTTGCCATTGCATAAAATTTAAATACTTCAGTAAATTTAAATTAAATACAAGTTATTCAGATTTTTGAGTTTTAAAACACTATATCTTCAAATTTTATATCTCACTAAACAATAAAATCAATTTAGTTATTACTTTAGTCAGAAAAATGACAAAAAGAGAATGTACATAAAGGTCCAAGATGTTACTGTTTTTTGTTGAATTTATATTGACACACATGATACATTAGCCGTAATTTTTTTTTTTTTGACAGTTGTAAAAAAACATCATTAAATCTGCTTGAAAAAAAGTTGGCATCACGTTTAAGATATATTAAGGACGTGTGCGAGTTAGGCTAAGTTGATACTAAACCAAATGGGAGATTTTTTGGGATTTTTTGCACTGCACACATTTTGCCATTTATCAACACGTATCGACACATCACTACATTATCGGCACAACTTAGAATTTCCCTCATTTAGAACGCAACTTAGCCTAACTCGCACACGACCTAAATGCTATTTTGTAATATATGTTTTCTATCGTGTTGTATACAATATAAATTATAAAACTTGTAAACACTGAAAATTAATTAATTTAAAGAAAATATTAATTGAATTAAACAAAATGAATGTTAAGCATGATATAGACGATACTGCATATCTGCACACCAAGTATAAAGTTCAAGTATGCGTTTTTTTATATACTTTGAAACAAGGTATGCATATTTCATTTTAAATTATTTTCTACACCGTTCATAACAATAGCGAAGCAAATACAGAGTGCAAAACAGTAATCGAAACTGAAGAAATTGAGATGATGATGATAGTAACATGTTGTTTATTTCATTATATAAAGATTTCATATTTCTTAGAATTAAACATAATTTTTTATTTTAATTCTTAAAACTAAAATTATATCTAATTTAATTCTTTAAAATGTTCCATTTTAATATATTTATTCACAAAATAATTTTGTAAATATAAAAACTAATAAAATATTTTCAGCACAAAATAATTTTTAAAATATATAAACTATTTTGAAAATTGTTTATAGCACTCTTATTCAAATTTGCTTATTTTAAAGAAAATAAATGTCTACAACTTTTTCAATTATTTTTATATTTTTTTTCCGCGATGTTTGCTCGTCCGACGCTCACCAAAATTCTTAAATTATGAGAAGTCTGCAGATTTCGACATACATAAGCAGAGATGTGTGCAGACTTTACAAATAATACATGTCTCAGACCGAAATTTGAATTTGCGATTTGGTAGCACGCATACCTTGTCTTCAAACACGTAGCATCGTCTATATCCTGCTTTACAAGAGTAATGGCTAGCATTTATTTCTTATATACTTAATTTATTTATTTATGTATTTGAATCTATTAATAAATCAAACATTTGTGGCAGCACCAAAAAATATAAATAAAAGAACTGTCAACAAGGCACAAAGGAGACAACAATAGCCGCAGTTCCCGCCAGTAGTAGTTTGGAAAAAGAAAAAGCAGCACGTGAATAAGACGTAAAAACATAAATCTTAACTTTAAGAATATTTTATAATAACTAAGTATAAGAAATAAATAAACTTATCCATTACCAATACGGAGTGTTAAATTAACTTATCCATTACCAATACGGAGTGTTAAATTCGAAATGAACCCCAACATAAAAAACCACTACATTGGTGACCAAGCCGACGCCGAATATAAAAAATGGCTACTCAAGAGCAGAAGATAACCGAAGACACTAACCCAATCAATGAAAACGCAACAATCACTGCAATAAAGCTGCCGATGCCAACATTAATAAAAAACAACATTGACCTTTGGTTTATTCAGTTGGACTACTGGTTCCAAGTCAACAACATAAAGGGCGATACTCAAAAGTTTGGCACAGTTATCGCAGCATTGGATGGATCGCTGTTAGAACAAATTTATAACACAATACAGAATCCACCAGCAACTCAGAAGTACGAAGCTATCAAGCAAGCAATAATAAAAAACTTTGCGGATAGTGAAAAAAAACGCATACAAAAATTAGTTAGTGGTTTACAGCTTGGGGATAAAAAGCCATCCCATCTTTTAAGCGAATTGCAACGTATTAGTGGAAGCAAACAAGACGAACAATTACTGAAAGGGTTATGGTTACAACGTCTTCCTGTAGAAGTACAGACATGTCTAGCCACAATTCAAGTGGAACTACCTAAGATGGCGGAATTGGCAGACAACATAACCGAAACAATCCGTATAAACTCAACAATGCAAGGAACTTACGTCAATGCAGCTAACGTCCCTGCAGCAGCTCAATTTCAACGTGATGCACAAATCGAACAACTTCAACGAGAAGTGACCAGACTGACGAAAATGGTCTCGAAATTATCAACCGAACACCGCTCAAGAACAAATCAACGTTCACGTTCAACATCCAGAAACCGGCAATGTCATGATGATAGTGAAGAAAAGACCAGTACAAATTGTTGGTATCATAGAACATATGGGTCAAATGCAAAAAATTGCAAGCAGCCATGCACATATGGCACAAAAAACTAAAACCGACTTCGTCTACGGCGGCAGAGGAAGTTGTAAACGAAACATCTACAAGACTGTTCGTCTATGACAATAAGACAAAAAAATCATTCCTAATAGACACGGGTGCAGATGTTTCACTTATTGCCGCCAAACAAAAAAATTCAAATACAAACAATAAGAACGAAAGAATACTCTACGCAGCAAATGGTTCTATGATCAAAACATTTGGAGAAATAGAGATAACTCTAGCTCTTGGCTTACGAAGAAATTTCACATGGCCATTTATTATCGCAGATGTAAACACTTCAATCATCGGTGCAGATTTTTTAAATCATTTCGGATTAATAGTAGACATAAAAATGAAACGATTAATCGACACATCAACAAAGATTTTCTCAGCCGCAAGTGAACGTAAGGTAAATGCGCAAAAAATATCAACTGTGAACACATCTTGCAAAATTGCAGATCTACTAAAAGAATACATCGACATCACTAAACCAACACCGACAAATCGCCAGGTGACAAAAGTCACTCACCACATATTAACAAAAGGTCCACCAATATGTGAGAGACCACGTAGGTTACCTCCAGACAAGCTAGCAGCAGCAAAAGAAGAATTCCAAAACTTAGTCACAGCCGGAATATGCCGTCCATCAAGCAGCAATTGGGCTAGCCCCTTACATATGGTAAAAAAACCAGACGGTAGTTGGAGACCTTGCGGAGATTACCGTCGCCTAAATGCAATCACCATCCCAGATCGTTACCCAGTTCCTCACATACATGATTTTGCACACATGTTATATAACCAAAAAGTTTTTTCAACCATCGACCTGATTAAGGCATATCACCAGATACCAGTTGAACCGGGGGATATTCCAAAAACGGCGATCATAACTCCATTTGGATTATTTGAATTTACTAACATGACATTCGGACTTTGCAATGCAGGTCAAACATTTCAACGCTTCATTCACGAAGTATTACGAGATCTCGAATTCGCCTTTGCCTATATTGACGACGTCATTATTGCATCAGCAAACGAGGAAGAGCACAGGCAACACTTGCAACAAGTATTCGAACGATTCAGAAAACATGGTTTAATAATAAACGTATCAAAATGCGTTTTTGCTCAAAACACAGTAAAATTTCTTGGTTATCTCATCAGTGAAAAGGGCATTCAACCTCTACCAGATCGAGTGAAGAGCATCAGCGAGTACCCGCTTCCAACAAAAACAAAAGAATTAAGAAGATTTCTAGCATTACTTAACTTTTATCGCAGGTTCGTACCAAACGCTGTAGATTCTCAAACTGCACTTCAACAAATGATAAAAGGAAACAAGAAGAACGACAACACACCGTTATGCTGGACCGAAGTGAACAAAACAATCTTCCAAAAATGTAAAGATGAACTAACAAACTCGACACTACTTGTTCATCCGTCAAAAACTGCTACGCTTGCATTACAAGTAGACGCCTCGGATAAAGCTCGCGGCGCAGTTCTTCATCAAGTGACAGACAGCACGTTCCAACCACTCGGTTTTTTCTCTAAACGATTAACAGATACACAAAAACGATACAGCACATACGATCGTGAGTTGTTAGCCGCATATCAGGGCATAAAACATTTTCGACATATGTTAGAAGGTCGTGAATTCGTATTAATAACTGACCACAAGCCAATCACGTTCGCATTCCAGCAAAAGTCCGACAAGGCTTCACCACGTCAAGTCCGTCAGCTTGATTATATAGGTCAATTTACAACGAATATCGTTCATGTCAGCGGAAAAGACAACATCCCAGCAGATTTTCTCTCGCGGATAGATAGTATTAGCATCCCAAAAATCGACTACGATTGTATAATTGGATTACAACGATGTTGCCCACAACTACAAGATATCAAAAACAACAATTCCATCGAAATCAAACTTTTATCTTTACCAACAATATCGGATAAAATTTATTGCGAAGTTTCAACTGGGCGAATTCGTCCTTACATTCCGGAGAAATACCGGCTACATATCTTTAAAGCTACGCATGGGTTGTCTCATCCCAGCATTCGGGGCACAACAAAAATGATAGCTGAAAAATTTTTCTGGCCTTCTATAAATGCTGATATCAGAAACTGGACCCGACAATGTATCCCATGCCAACGTTCTAAAGTGCAACGTCACAACCGTTCACCTATTTGTCAATATGAACTCGCTGAACACAGATTCGAACATATAAACATAGATATCGTCGGCCCGCTACCACCATCAAACAACTGCACATATATATTAACCATCATCGACCGTTTCAGCCGATGGCCAGAAGCAATTCCGATCCCAGATCAAACAGCGGAAACCATCGCAAACGCACTGATTACTCAATGGATCGCACGTTTTGGCGTACCCTTACGTATCACAACAGACCAAGGAAGACAATTTGAATCTTCATTGTTCAACCAACTAGCTGAAGTTATCGGTTGCAAACACTTACGAACTACGAGTTACCATCCTCAAAGTAACGGAATGGTGGAA